GTGTTGCCGCAGTCCACGGGACTTCCTCCCTCGTTTCGGGTGAAAACGTGATCGACAAATTAACAATAGGCTATTTGAAGATAAAATAGCATGAAAGGGTTTGTTGGTCTAAAAGTCAGAAGTGGCCATCAAACAACCTAAGCAGGACACCAGATAGACTGGTCTAATGTCAAATTCTCAGGAGGATATGGAGATTATAACAGTAACTAAGCTAAGGGAAGCGATAGAAATTAACAATACAGCTTGCACCCTGAATAGGAATGAACAAGGAAATCAAGTGGAAGCAACTTGTGGTTGGTGATAGGATTATAGAGAGGGAACAAGAAGTAACGTTGAGCAAGTGGCGTGATCAGAATCAAATCTTATTTTTGTTCTCAAAACACAAGCGTATCACGAGCATTGCATGCACACAATACGTGTGCAATAAAACGCAATCACATGCGTCAAAGCTACAGAATCAAAAAGGGAAATATTGGGTTGGTTCTACCATCTTTAGCACAGACTAGTAGCGCCTCTAACTGACGATGCCGGAGAAACGTCTGGGAATGTACCAATTCACTGGTCCGATGGAGGAAATCACGAATACTATAGCAGAGGGCACAAGACTAGATATGTTCCACAAGGTCTCCCTGACGCTCCGACCATGTTGCAAATACAAGTTCGAACCAACATTGCCTGGCTGTCTAAGGGCCTTCAAGTACCGTCCCAAATTACATCATATTCGAGGATTTAGAACAAATGGTGATCAGATGTTGGAGTACCTTTCTTTTCGTTTTGAAGTTAAGCGGAAACTACTCGTGGCTGTTGGATAGGTTTAGAGGGAAGGGCAACGAGAAATACCATCGAGCAAGAGGAAGCTTGATTGAACTTGGTTTTGACTCACATGACACTCGTTTCAAGAGCAATGCACTAACACAGCACGTGTGCAATTGAATGCGATCACATGCGGTAACATTGCAGGATAAAAGGCGTAAGTATTTTATGGGAGGATGCAGCTGTTCGTTTTTAATTGCACCCATTTCCCGTTTCATCTGTAGCCATTTCACATGTCATCCGCAGCCGCTTAACATAGCCTATGAACAAATATAGATGCAAAGCATAGGGCATCTAACCAAAACATGAGATGCCTAAGCGGACCAAATTAGAAAATAAAAGGAAGTATGTTTGAAGCTGGCCACCGCTTTCTTGCCTTAGTGTTTTTTAGTGAATCATCTGCTCTGACAATGTCCATCACATCACGGACGAAAGCTCAGCAAGGGTTCATCGGGGTCGCAATGCATAGGTGCCGAGAACCTATTCACACAAATTTACAACCACAGCGCCAAAGCACCCCCCCACAGCCCCAGGTCGAAACAAATTACGAATCTCTTCCACTCGCCTCTTAAAACGAAATGAAAGATACTCTAACATACGGTGTTCATGCCAAGGCATAGGAATCTTCCCCTATCTAGGCTTCAAACCCATGATTTAGTTATGCTCTTTCTCATCCTCATCCGGATTGTATCTCATCCTTTGGGGCCCTGTGTCCGACTTTCTTCATAGCCAATTGTTTGAAAATGCAACACTTCCCTTTCCCCCTCCTGAATCGTGAGAAGCATACTACTCTTGTCCTTAAAGTTGGCATTCCCATCTAGTACTAGGATAGTATTATGTTGTGTGCTGGCTGGTATACCCCGTGATCAAGCCCGTCACAATCACCTCCAATTGAGTCACGCACACGAAAAGTGCACACAAACACACACAAACTGCTGGTGACCCACCTAAACCCTTAGCTTTTAATTTCCCATACCACATCGCACAGATGGATCCTTCCTGTGTTCATTTTTGGCCGATTTCAGATTTGACTCTGGCCACTGCAATCGCCCTTTCTTGACTTCCTTTTGTGCCTTATAAGCCGTTTTTTGGCGACGCCTCTTCCTGTTTAACAGTTGTTCTGGGTCCAAGAGCCTTTTTTTGTCTTCGAAAAATCTCCAAGTCTGACCAGGCTGTACGTGAAATTATCGCCGACTCTACCTTCTAATCTCATATTCATCAGGTTTCTTTGAAAGAGAATGCCGAGAGCTTCCTTGATCTTCCGTTTTTTTGGTGTTCCCCGCTTATGAGGATAGTCTTTCCGATGCACTCCAGTAAATTGTGTGGCCAGTAAAGCGATATGTTAAGCTATCTGCGATCTGTTCGTATCCATTTTTCTGCATAGTTGTTTGTATTCTTTGATCATTGTGCTGATTGTTCTTCCCTTCTGTCCAAAGTATTTTTGTTTACAGTCCTTGCAGAATATGCTGTAAACTAACGAGCACTTCAGTTTGTTGACTGCTTCATGTTTGGTAGGCATGCTGGTGGAGAGTTGTCCTTTTCTTCAGGATTTTACGAATGTTCTCTTTCCATAGTATGGGCTACAGCTACCGAGTCAGGAGGGAAGACATGTAACTCATTTTTTCTCAGTTTCTTTTGCTTTTATTTCATAATCTCCATCCTTCCAACTGCTTATCATTATCCATAAGTTGCGTTGTAAAGCTTATTCTGGATATCCATTTCCAAGACACACCTGAGTTATTTTCGTATTAGAGTAGAGTTTCGAGACTACCAGCAAATCAGTAATATGAGATGTATTCACCCAATTTCGTCTAAGGTGATGAAGGACTGTATTAGAATTTTCCCACAATGATATGAGTTGAGCTGACGTTTCCATTGCATTTCACATAGCCTTGCTTT